CATAAATGGCTGGTATAACAGATCATGACCAGATAACAAATCTAAGATCAAGGAAGGACTCTAATACAATCTTAGAATTTGAGCTTTAAGTCTATCTGAACCTCACAAAACTGGTTTGTAGAGTGAGGGTTGCTCAAGCCTTATAAAAGCACTAATCTCTAGTTGACATGGAACTCTCAAATCTCAACAGCCACAACAGGCTTAGGACTTGACATCTGAATTGTGGACTAACACATGCGGAATAATAGGATCTCAACATATACAATCATGCATAATAAATAATAGTTTTGAATTTAAACTCTTTAGGAATAACATTGGAATAGTATCTTTTAATCATTTAGTTTTAATTTCTAAAAGTGCATTAGCACAATATCTCGTATGCATTTCTTAGTGCCCATTGAATTGAAAACAAACAATTATTTGCAATGATATGACCTCATAAGAAGTATATATTAGAGTAAATAGAATAGGAGATTAGTTTCCATAACAAACTTTGTAACAGAGCACATTCTTAACTGAACTATATAAGTTCAGTCTCTTTCCTATTGTAACTAACTTTAGAATACAAATTCATAATTCAGTCACATATGGAATCAAATCCTCTCACTCTCTTCTCTTTCTCTCTTTCTAATAGTATAGACATTTTAAAATTGGTTTTTGAATGAAAAATTTATTCCATTTTTTTAATTTGATGCGGTGGAGTGAAGATCAATGTAGTGATATTGGAGGAATCAGAAGGATTTGTTTAAGTTTTTCATTGACATGGGAAAACATATGATAGTTTTCTTTAAAAGGTTTTATGAAGACCCTAAGAAGAAAATAGTTTGGATTTCTTAAGCTTGATCAATCTAATATATGTGTGTGAGGGTCACGATTAATGTGTGGAAAGTTCAAATGGGGTTCCACAAGTAAAGATTCGCACAAAGGTCTGTTTTGACTTTTATCTTTGTCTAAGGTCTGCTTTGACCGCTTATGATTTTATCGTGGTTTTACATATCCGAGAGACAGTGCCATCATACATACTTTTTCCGTATGATTTAGTCATAGCTAAAATGTCAAGAAAAGGAATTTATGGAACATGGTTGTCAAAACCGGGATCTCGATAAAAATCATTAGGGTATAGAAAAAGAGTAAATCGTAGGATCGTAACCCGGATTGTAAGATCCCAACAAATAGACAAATATATAGAAATAAGTAGGAAAAATAACTGTAACATGAAATTCTCATTAACTTAATCATCAATTGCAAATACTCAATCCAAAAAGACATAATTTCCTCAAACATAATATTCTCAATGGCAACTAAAAACATAATTGTAAGGAAGGAAGAGGTATTGCAGTGCAGGGACAAAAAAGATGAGAAGAATAGAAGGATTTGATTTGGGTTTATAGAAAGGATAGATGAAGGGAAGAAATTTATTATTGTTTGATTAATCGTACAAAATTCTCAAAATTCTCAGAGTTGCAATGACTTTTGTTTGTCGCGTAGCTTTCACAATCCTTATTTTGCAATCTTAACAGCTTATTTAAAATATATTTAACACATTGCGAGTCCTAAAACCCTAAAATAATGGTGCACATCCATTAGGGTTAATTACCGGATTAATTAATGAGTCGAATCCAATTGTTTAATGACTGGGTCGAAACAGGTCTGAAGCAGATCAAAACAAAACAATTGGATCCCTGGGATTGCAAGATCCCGCGATTTAAGATCTTTCTCTAAGAGTTCAACGCTCTAGCGAAAGACACAATCTTTGTGACACTTAAATCCGTGGCCAGTTGCCGGAGCGCAAGAGTAAGATTTCGGGAGTTAGAGCGAGATCCCGGCAACTATGTTATGGAAAGATAGAGATCTGAAGACAGTTCATTGAAACATAGTATTCGCTTGAGTAGAAATAAAACAATACACGTTTAGTAGAAGGAACACATCCTAGATTAGAGACGAAAATTAAATAACATTGTAACACAAATATCATGATTTGGGTACCTTAGGTTCATCATATATAATGACGGGGATATATAGGGAGATGTTAACTATAGGATCCAACTAGGAGGGTAAGTTAGTTGGAGAATTCATTTGGGTTTGTGATAGAGAAATGTTACTCAAGCTTATTTTTTCTTGTAAAGCATAAGACCAGCAATGCCACATATTTAGGATTGAATGTTAGGTGATAAATAGCAAATAAGAAAGTAAAGTCAATATTGTAGAGGTGAGAATATTAGAGTGGGATTAATGATCATTTATGTATGTTTTGTCTTTCGTGCAACTATGCATGTCTTCTTGGTATGTTTATGGAAGCATCGTTATGCAGCTATTTATGCATTATATAGGCACTGAAGCTCAAATGACTTAGTTGTTTTAATAATCTCCTCTTCTGTTTCCTTAACATGTAAATGCTTTGCATCTTGGCACTTAATTAGTCATTTTATAATTCATGTTCAAAGTTGAATATTTCTTGGTCAATATCATCACGCAGGCACTCCTACTGGTGAGTGATTGGGAGCTAGCTGAAGCTCGAAAAAAAGATGCACTTGATCGAGCTAGGGTGCGTGGAGAAGAGCCTCCAGCTGAGGTGCTTGCAGAACAGAGAGGTCTGCATTGCAGTGTTGAACCAGATGTGAAGAAGCTTTTGCAGGGAAAAACACGTGTAGAATTGGAGGCTTTGCAGGCGCATATTGAGTCAGAAATGCGTACTGGTGCAGCAAAGCTTGTTGAGTACTGGGAGACTGTTTTAAAGCACCTCCGCATATACAAGGCCAAGGTAATCTTCCTAACATTTTCTTTTTGTATTTTATGTTACATGCCATAAATTAATGGATTGTTTTACTCAATTATTACTTTGCTGCAATACAGGCTTGTTTAAAGGAAATTCATGCTAAAATGTTACGCAAGCATTTACATCGCCTTGAGGAACTATCAGAGGGTGAAGAAGATAAATTGGAAGATGCTCCTGTAATGAAATCTGAGGAAGATATTGAGGACTATGTTGAATGTATAACTTGCTTGTTACTGTTCAACTATTTGTGAAATATAGACTCTTTTATACACTTATTCTATTCAAAATGTCATATGATATTTTCCTGTTTTTTTATGCAGTCCAACCTACAAATAGATCGCTTTCTCCAGAACCCATCACAAGAGAGGAGGGTCAAGAAGTTGAAGATGAGGCTGGGTCCTTTTCACCCGAACTGTTTCATGGTGATGAAAATGAGGAAGCTATTGATCCTGAAGAGGACAGAGCTCTACTGGTGAATCTTATTTAGCACTTAATCTAATAATCTTGGGAGTTTGTGTCTGTATCAAGTATATAGGCTAACTCGCTAACTCGTCCATGATGGTACATTCATAGGAACAAAAACGTTTGGCTGTAAAGGAAGAGCAGCAGAGAAGAATTCAGGAAGCAATGGCATCAAAGCCTGCTCCATCTGAAGATAATTTTGAGATGAAAGCCATGAAAGCTATGGGAGCTATGGAAGAAGGAGATGTAATGTTTGGCTCTGGTGCTGAAGTGAATCTGGATTCACAGGTATCATCTTGTCTTGGTCATTTGTATGATTTTTACTCTTAGAAATATTGGCATCAATTCTTGTCACCTTCCACAATTATTAGAAACTTTAATGTTAATTATCATTATGTTGGAAATTGGAGTACAAAGTTCTGAAATTCTGGAGTTCTATTATAAAGGAGGGGGTGGTTAGCAACTTACAATAGAATAATAGAAACATGATTGAGGATAGAACATTATGGCGAAATTTGGTTATGTAGCCGAACCAACTTAGTGGGATAAGACTTGGTTATTGTTGTATACTGTCTCATCATAATATATTGTTATTTTAGGGTGAAAAAAAAGCTTGTTAACTGCATGTTCGTGTTAAAGTTTCTTATGTAAATGATAAATGTTGGCGCAGGTTTATTGGTGGCATGACAAATACAGGCCCAGGAAACCAAAGTATTTCAACCGTGTTCATACTGGATATGAGTGGAACAAATATAATCAGACTCACTATGATCATGACAATCCACCTCCAAAGGTTGTACAAGGGTATAAATTTAATATTTTCTACCCAGATCTTGTAGACAAGATAAAAGCTCCAACTTACACCATTGAGAAGGATGGTAGCAATGGTGAGACCTGCATCATAAGATTCCATGCAGGGCCACCATACGAAGACATTGTAAGTCTACTGTTCCTGATGGTTTCGAGGTTTTTTTCCCTCCAACAAAATTACTTATTTCATGTGTCTTGTCTTAACAGGCTTTCCGCATTGTAAACAAAGAATGGGAATATTCTCACAAGAAAGGTTTTAAGTGCACGTTTGAACGTGGAATTCTACATGTATACTTCAATTTCAAACGCCACCGCTACCGCCGATAATTTCAGCCACTGGTTAGCTTTCTGGTGAATTTTTCCTGCAAGCTTGAGGAAGCTAAAAGGCTACCCTTTTGAAGAGTAAAAGTGTTGCCAGTAGAGTTTCTTTTAGATATTTGGAAGACTTGTGTTGCTTCCAGCAAAATTTGTCTACTATTGATGGCACATATATGTCATACAATTCAAAGTTGAAGGAATCAGTAATGGTGAACAGCTACTTTTGTGAACAGCCACTTTTGTGAACATTGGTGGAGCAATTATGAATCAATCGTCTGTGCTTGGAAACAATTGATGTATGGTGCAAAAACACAGCATGAAAACAACTATTATTGTTTATATTTATGTGGTATTGATTCATGAACTTCTGTAGTCCTAGCATAGACAAGTCTTGTATTGAAATATTGAATTGAATACAATTAATCAAGTCTTTTTAGCAAATGTTTCAACCTTTTCAATGTTTCTTTTATGCCAGTCCAGAAACATGTAAAATTCTATGTTCATTCACATCATAGACTAAGAGCCATGTGGTACATCTCCTACAAGGACAGATACTATCTTCTCACAGTTTTTGCTAACATAGCAAAGCACTCTGAATATTAAATCACTGCACTCTGAATATTAAACCACTGCATTAGCCTTCAACAATCTTTACAGCAGTCCTGCAGAACCCAAAATCCTTGAAATTAACTACAAGAGTGCTTTAGTATAAGAATACATTTTTTTTAAACCATTACTTACCCAAATGGGCTTTGTTTAATGGCAAGCAGTTCAACATCCACCTGCAGAATTTGAATTATTAAACTTAGAACAAAATTCAATTAATGTAGATGCATAAGCATATATTATGTGTCTTGTTAAATGAAGCAAAAACGGCAGCTCTAGTATCAAATTACAAGAGGTATTCATAACAGAGATCTGAGTAATTCACCTCTATTATTGCATTTGGAGGGATTTCTTGAACTCCCTTGCTTCCATAGGCAAGTTCAGGTGGAACAATTAACAGTCGCTGCAGAAAACTTACTCAATTAATGCTTCCATTTACAGACTGTCATGATTTCAATGAAATTTGTAACAGAACAGACATCTGCTTTGTCTTTGAATCACTTCTTACCTGGCCTCCAACTCGCATGCCCTCGACTCCTAAATCCAAACCTTTTAGGACATTTCCTCTCTCAGATTCACCTACGTCAAATCCATAAGGCTGCAATAATTCAAGCATCTTCTCATTAATCACTCAACAAGTAAATTTTGCAACCAAAACATATCAAGATTTTTTTTTCATGTGTTATCATTATGTAACAAGGAAGAACATGCCATGTTTTATACATGAAAGAACCTGTTAACTTATAGAACAATAAGTAGATTTCGGTTGAGTTACTAGGATTGTACCGTTCCTCCTCCAACGCCCATTCCTTGTCTACTAGTCATAAATGTGATTCCCCTCCATTTAGCAACATAGTGAATCTACAATATGATAGTCTAATTATTTCCATGTCCGGATTTCAAACTGAGTTATCTGAGTCAGGTCTGTGTATAAACATGCAAAACACTAATAAGTGCGAAACATATTTAACTGAATCACAACCGTACTGCGACACGCGATCCTTTCACAGCTTCAGCTCCATTTCCAACCTTCAAATCATAGTACCTAAACATAAACATATCCGAGTTTTATCACACACTGCACCATAATCAAAACAATTTCAGATTTAATCAACATATACTTACTTCAAACCATTAGGCAAGGTTTTGAAATCACTCTCAGGAATTTTCGCTCCTCTTAGCTGTACAAAACCAAAAACATGAAAAACATAATTCCTATTACTAGTCACATTTTCAGAACAGAAATGTTACTTCAACATCGTTTCGGGACAACAAAATTCGACAATCTTTCAATGTCCCAAATCGATATTCGAATAACAATTATGTTTTCAAATCATATTTTTTTCTAAAAATGGAGACACATACAGCTCTTCTACTAGTGCTAACAGCTTCCGCCACATCACATGCATAGACTCCAGCAACTGATCACAATCACATAAGATATAAACACTAACAATATTGTAATTCAAACATTGAATGTTATATATATATATATATATATATATATATATATATATATATATATATATATATATATATATATATATATATATATATATATATATATATATATATATATATATATATATATATATATATAAGGAAAATCATCAAATGCATAACTAACTAACTACATGTTGTGAGGAGACAAGTGAGTAATGCTCTTCTTCCTTCAATTTGTGAAGACACAGTAACTGGTTCTACAGAGGCATTATTGGAAGAAGAATGTGAACAGCTACATGGTAATAACCTATTTGAATTTTTGTTGTGAAGTTTTTTGTGTGTTCCTGTGGAGTTGAAAAATTCAACTGTTTTAGATTATTTATACATAAAAAAAAGTGATTAGGAAAGTTGTAGAAAAGAGAGAAGTTACTTGTGAAGAGATTGGAGGTGAGGAAAGGATTGTGCTGATGGGTGAGAAGTGAGAGTTCCATGATCTTGGTTTGTTCTTTGTTATTCTATGGTTTTATTGATTAGATTGTTATGTTTTACGTTTTCTTTTTAGTTTGGTTTGAGAGGAAAAAGAGAAAGAAAATATAGAGAGAGGATAACGTAGTTAATTCTATCCACAATTTTTATGCTTGAAATTGACATGTATGTCATGAACCAAATCATTAATATCAATATTCTTATAATTTTAATAGGTTCTATACTTTCTATAATGATCGATAGTTTTCCATTTCAAAAATATAAATGATAGATTTTTTTGTTTGTTTGAAATTTTATCAAATGAAACATGCAATTAGCAGTCATTGAAACATTCTTCGAAAATTAGGAGATACAACTTTCAACTAATAATTATGAGAAGATTCTTTGAAATTTAATATAGTGAATTTTCAACTAGTAGAATTTTTAAATATTAACTAAGAAAACGTGCGACTAGGGCTGGCAATGAACCAAACCAACTCGAAGATAGTTCGGAATTCGACTCGACAATTAAATCGTTGAACTAGGTTCATGAACCAAATGAGTTGAGTATGAGCGAAAAATTAAGTTCGTTAACTAAATGAGCTGAACTTGAACTATACATAGTTCGACTCGTTAGGTTCATGAGTCAACTCGATTACATATGAAAAGAATTATACTGTCTTTAAGATTAGGTTTAAATATTTACTTCAAATCTTAGACAAATTTAATCTTCAATTTATTAGTTTTTGAATTAGACTCTCAAATGTATCTCTTGAAAGTTGTGTAGGTTTTGAAGTAGTAGATTTCGAAGATAAAGTTAAATTTCAATATGATAACTTTTATTTTATTTTAATATTTTATTTTAAAAATATATATTTATTTAAAATGTCAAATATACTAAAAAATATATATATTTAAAAAAATAGTTTTTAAGTTCGTGAACCATGTGAGCTGAACCTAATGAGATGAACCTAACGAGTCGAGCCGAACTGTTCGTGAACTTATAACGAGTCGAGTTTGAGCTTAAAAAAAAGTTCGTGTCGAACTCGAACTCGAACTCGAATTCGAACAATTCTTAACGAGTCGAGCCGAGCTGAGGTGAGTTCGACTCGACTCGACTCATTTCCAGCCCTACGTGCGACCAACAATCATCTGAAAGATTCTCCGAAATTAACGGAGGAAATTTTCGACTACAAACATCAAAAGATTCCTTGAGATTTAAAGAAAAATTTAAATTAACCATCATTGATAGATTTTTTTTTAAAGAATTATCAGAGACAATTTTCAACTAACAATTATTGAAAGACCTTGAGACTTTGAGACTTAACAAAGTGAACTTTCAACTAACCATCATTCGAAAAGTTCTCTGAAAATTAAAAGAGCAAACTTTTAACTTTACCATATCGGAGGATTCTTTCAGACCTAACGAAGAAACTTTCGACCAAACTAAAATGAATGGAAAATCTTCTGAGAGTAAAAGCTTTAAAATAACCAATGTAAATAAGAAATGGGAGGTTATCAAATATAATAGAAAGTTAACTTGAGAAATATGTTGTATTCTTATTACTCTCAATGATACATGACATGCCTTTATATATAAACTAATAATCTATATTTTAGAGCTTGAAAATAGGATCAATCCTAACAGACCCTAACAAACTAATAATGAACTATTAAAAAACAAATCTAACAACTCTTAACAAACTAAGAACAGACTATTAAATTTATCTCTAATACTCTCTCTCAAGTTGGGTGAGGATTATGAACACCCAACTTGAACATGAGGTCTTGAAAAACTTTCACGCCCAAGGACTTAGTGAAAACGTGAGCATTTTGTTGTTTGGTGGGCAGGTATGTTATGCTTATGACACCTGATTGTATGCGTTTCCTGATAAAATGACAGTCAATTTCAATGTGATTTATTCTTTCATGGAAGATCGGGTTTATAGCTAAATGAAGAGCTGCTTGGTTGTCACATTGGAAAAGCGTGAGTTTGATGCATGAATCTTGCAGAAAAAAATTACGTAGCCGTAGTATTTCACTTGTGGCATGTGCCAATGCATGATATTCAGCCTCACTTGAGGATCGAGAGACTACAACTTGGTTCTTTGTTTTCCATGATATTGAAGCTTTGACAAGTTTCATTAGTTAACTTAAGATGGACTTTTTGGTAATGGGGCACGATTCTCAATCTGAGTCACAGTAGCCAACTAGCTGTAGATCATTATGTTGTGGAAGAATGATACCTTGATTAGGAGAAGATTTGAGATATCGTAAGACTCATATAACAACATCCCAATGGTCTTGGAGTGGAGTTTGCATGAATAGACTTTGAATATGAGCTAAGTAGGTTAGTTCAGGCCTAATGATAGTTAAGTAAATCAGGCATCCAACTAATCTCATATACCTTGACGGTTCTAAGAGTGGAAGTCCCTTGGTCAAAGCAAGTTTATGATTTTGTTCCATTGAAAACAAAGAAGGCTTACAACCAAGCATCCCACACTCTTGTAGAATGTCTAAGGTGTATTTTCTTTGACAAAGGAATATCCCTTCTGACCCTTGTTCTAGTTCCATGCCTAGAAAGTATTTAAATGAACCAAGATCTTTCATGTGGAAACGTTTACTGAGATATTGCTTGAACTGCTCACAGGCCTGAAAGTCATTACTAGCAATGATAAAGTCTTCAACATATATTAAAAAAAAATTAATCCATGGGAATAAGTAAATAGACTATGATCAGACTAGTTGTCTTGGAAACCATATTTTATCAAAGATTAAGATAACTTGTTATACCAATTTCTAGATGCTTGTTTTAATCCATACAATGACTTCTTTAATCCGCATACCAAACAATTTTTTGGAACTCCATATCCTTGTGGAAGACTCATATATACTTCTTCTGTCAATTCTCTATGTAAGAAGGCATTGCTAATATCCATTTCATGCAATTTCCATCCTTTCGCTATTGCAACTGTTAACAGGCATCTGACCATCGTCATTTTGGCCACTAGTGCAAAATTTTTATTGAAGTTCTCACCTTGTATTGGTATGTAACCTTTAGCAACTAATCTGGCCTTGTAATTTTCAATCTCACCTATAGCTTTATGTTTGATTTTGTACACCCATCTACATCCTATCAATTTTCTTCCTTGCGGTAAATGAGTTAGTTCCCATGTCTCATTGTCTTCTAGAGCCTTAATTTCTTGAGCCATGACCTCCCTCAAAACTGTATGCTTGACTGCTTGGGTATATGATTGAGGTTCTTCGTTATTAGTGATGGTTGCAAGGTAAGCTCTATGTTTTTGTGAAAACTTGCCATATTTTAAAAATTTTGAGATGAGATATGTGATACCTAAAGAGGATTATGGAATTGATTCCATGCACTTGGAGTTTATGTTTAATTTTCCACAATCATATTCTTTTAGATAACTTGGAGGTCGTCTTATGCGTGGCATGTTCTGAGGCTTTCCCTCATTTGAGACTTCTCATTCACCTTCACTTGATGATTCTTTTTTAGAATCATTGTCGACTTCCTCATTCACGTTATCTATGGATACATGTTCTTTCTCTATATGATCACTCTCAGTTTTACTTGTGTATTCATGCTCCTTAATGGGTAAACTTTCTATATGACCTGATGTTTGTGAAGGTGAGAAAATACTTAGAAGGGGGGGTTGAATAAGTATGACAGAAAATAATCAAAGATAAAAACTCAAGTATTTTTATCCTGGTTCGTTGAACTCAACTACTCCAGTCCACCCTTTTCAAGAGTGATTTGCCTTTCTCAACAAGGACTTAATCCACTATTCAAATCAACTGATTACAAATAGCAACACCTAAGAACAACTGTTCTTAGTCTTCTCAAGAGCTACTGATCTAACCTAGATCCTCTTAAGGAAAACTTCCTTTACAAATTAATGTAATACAATGTAAGAGTAATAAATTGCTTCTATGAAAGCTATAAACACAACTGTGTTATTTCTCTAAGTTTAGAACAAAGTATGAACTATAAAGAATATGAGAGCTTGAGAGTTTCTTCGCTTGAGAGTAAGTTTTTCAAAATTCGTCTTCCTTTTTTTTTTCTCTCTGAAGAAAGTGCTATGATATCCTTTATATAGCCACTTGAATATTGGAGAGAATATAATACCGTTGGAGAAGATATTTCCAATATCAAATAGTACTGTCCTTTGTACTATTGCAGCAGAGAGACGGCGCACAAAATGTGGGTGTAGCAATTGTCTGCTGAGCTGTGAATTTACCATATATGGAATGTATCAGAGGAATAATATTCTTGCAGAGATTTATGTCTATCCCAATTAAGGAAAGATTTGCTGGCATATTCCAACGGATATATTAAAATAATCTTCTTCAAATAATTCTTCAGATAGTTCAGATCAACAATCAATATCAGAGTCTTCAGTCTTCAGAATCTTCTGGAAACTTCAGAGCCTAAGATGTTCTTCAGATGTTGCTGAATCAGAGTCTGGTGCAGCTGTGTGCTTGAAGCGTAACATGCTCTTAGATCAGAGTCTTCACTCAGATCAGAGTCTTCTCTCATTCAGAGTCTCTTCACTCAGAGTCTTCTTTCATTCAGATTCTTGATAATATATGCAGCGTGTTGTATCTTCAGAATCTTGATGACTAAGCTCTTATACTTCAGATTCTTCTAATCTTCAGATGCTCTTGAGCCATTCAGAATTTATTGTACACATCAAATTTGCTCTTTAAGATTAAAATCTTTTGTGCCTGTAGAAAACAGTTTAGAACAAATTTAGAGAGTATAATTCTTGTATACAAATTATCATTAATGTTATCATCAAAACATAGAGATATTACTAAGACACAATCTGTGCTCTTACAATCTCCCCCTTTTTGATGATGACAAAACATGAGAAATTTGTTCAATAAAAATATGAATTAAAATTACTCCCCCTGAGATTTACAATCTCCCCCTGAAATGAATACTCTAATGGAATTAGATACTTCCCTTTCTGGTTGAGTACATTTCAGATTCAGAGCCTGATTG